GAGAAGTGTAATATTATTTTCAAAATCCAACTTAAAGTACTTATGTATAATGATGAGTTAATCATTATGTGAAAGTCTGTAAATTATTGTAGATTTGCTTTAATTTTTCAATAAAGACAAGCCATTGTGGCATGATTGCAGGTTAAAAAAAAAAAATAAAAAAAAAAAATAGTAAAACATATTTAATAATATTATTATTTTTATAACAAATTTTATTTTAAAAGTCATATTTGAACAATAAGCTTTATTTTTGAATTTTGTGATATTATTTATAATATAATTATTATTTAAGTAAATAGTTTTTATTTTATAAAAATAAATATCTGTAACGTAGAAAAATAAATGACACGTTTATTTATTTTATTAACACATTGATATCAGTTTGCAATACGTAAAGATTATCAAATAGAAATTATGTCGATCTTTAGCCTAATGTCTCTTCTTTTTTCTCTTTTTTTTTTTAAAAAAAAATGAAGGTGTTTTATTCTGATGTTTGCTTAAAGCATGATCCAAAATACGAAATTTTATCAGGAAAATTTGTCGAGTATCTTGGTATGCATTCACTTAATTGACCAAATTATCGTCCAAATTCGAAATTTACTTGTTACACATATACACTTATTACGTACGAATTATAGAGAGTCCTTCTCGTATAGTAGCTATTAAAAATTATCTGAGTCAATTTCGAGATATTTTCGAATTTCACGCGCCATCTGATCATGGGCTCGACCCTATTTTATCGGTTCACGATGTTGATTACGTTGAATACTTGCAAACTGCATATGTTGAATGGTGTAACGAAGGCGGAGACAGAAATGGCGTTATACCAGAAGCATTCGCACATAAAGGAATATTGAATTCTGTCAAGAACATTAAAAAAGTTAAATCTTCACTGGCCAAAGCTGGACTTTATTGTTTTGATTTGTCTTGTTGTATCACCGAAGGTATATACTGGAAATGTTAATTTTATCGATTTTAAATTCTTTTAATTGATCCACGTTGAAAACAGGCACATGGGAAGCTGTTTATAAATCAGCTCAAATATGCATTAGTGCTGCGATGGAACTTTCAAAAGTCACTTCGGAAAAGTCTGCGGACAATACGTCGACTGGCGTGTTTGCGCTCTGGTAAGGGCAAATATTTAAAATTGAGTGACTTATTTTTAGGTTAATAAAATAGTATACAAATGTTAAAGTCGACCTCCAGGTCATCATGCAAATAAGAATGTCTGTGGTGGTTACTGCTTTCTTAATAATGTCGCGATTGCAGCGAAACTTTTAATCAACAGTAAATCCAATGAATTTGAAAACTCA